TGTTTCGAAGAAACTCACTCTTTGGAGAGCCTTGAGGGGGAGTGCAGCCCCCTTTTTTGCGAAAAAATAAATGCCTATAATCCTTCTTAAAATATAGCCTATTCGACTCAGTTTTTTGCGCTGATTTCAAATATGTCATTAGTTTTACAGATTTGTCTGATATATCTTGTCGAAATCAACAAAATACATATCAAAACATATGATATTTTATGTAGTTCGATCAGTCAAATCTTTGAAAAGTGGCCTATGGGCAAAAACAAACTATACCACGAGACTCAGCTCGTCGAGCTCTACAAACTGGGATATATCCCGTTAAAAACTGAGATTCACACTTGGGGACCTTCCCTCGTTAGATACATTTGGTTGTCAATTGAAGACGTTGGAAATTGGAATCCCCTCATTTGATCATGATCAAGAATGGAGACAACTCATGAAGACAAAACTTTATGATCTGGAAACGTTTACAATTCGCCTAAAAGGTGAAGTCATGGACATAGCGCAATACGATTTCATGTTATCTGACTTCGAGAAGGGTACTTTCAATTGCATTCGCTTTATTTTTGACTCATTTTGGTATGAGCATGGTTGGGTGGCAAAAATGCATATCGACAAAGACATAGTTGAGGCTGTTTTTCACCGCCCAAAGTAATTTCATGATTTTCTATTTTTAAAAGAGAAACCGATGATTTTTTACAACATTGTAGGTCAGTAGAAACCCTTAAAATTGATCAAAGTGAAAATCAATTTAAAAAATCGATTTATTTTAATGATGAACCTTATCAACTGGACAGTACCTTTATACAATCAGGTAATAGTTTATCTATCGGCGGTTTAGACTACCATTTAGCTTCAAGATTCTTGGAGGATTTAGGAGACATAATTTCATATTTACCAATCAAGCAATTAATATTTAAAGGTTCAAACGGACCATCAATCAGTGAGCTATTGATAATCGTCAGACAGTGCCCTCATTTGACATTTCTGAGTGTGCAGTCAGCAAAAGTTCCACATATTGCTGACAACGACGAAAATCAGATCATGAACGAAGAATATCGATTCGATAATATTCGTCGATTGGAGATCAATGCAGTAATACAAAGAAAATGGGTTACTGGCTTAATGAAATACTTACCAAAAGTGAATAATGTACATGTTTACTGTGATTTAGAAGAGCCAAATGCTTTACGTATCCTTGGTCCGTTTCCATCACGGAATCTACAGCCTCTAGAGGGGATTGAAAGTTTGACACAAGACATGGAGAAAATACCTATAGGATTCATTTCCAATTTTTACTCGGACGCCGAATGGAAGAAATTATTCAACTTTCTAGATGAAGCGTAAAAACATAAATTGTATGATATTCTTCAAGTGTTTTGCTATTATGTCCTTTGGAAAGTACTTCAGTATTGAAAACGGGATCGTAATTATGCAGTATAACTGGAGAACTCTTTTTTCTAATTTGGTAAAAACTAAAACATGAGATATTTAATGCAACTCCCAATATAAAGAGCTTCGCCAGAATAATAATTCTTTAAAAATATAAAAAATGTACCAATGTTACGTTAGCTAAACATGCCACGATAAATGTTCATTTATATAAATTTATGGTGGATGTGAGTGTGGCTCGTTCAGTCATTGGAACTCACCCACACCCACATCCACGAAAACTGTGAGCTGTATATATATATATACAGGAAAGAAAACGAGACAGACAGAAGAAGCTATTCATGTTTTAGTCAACATTTTTTACAATCAAATCGAAATAAGTCATTGCCGTTGCTCATGGTGTACTTATATGTGTAATTTTTCTATCACCTCTACGAGCAATAATATCCAATTTCTGTGCATAAATACACATTTGTAGACGATCTGAATCATTATTCAATGTAAATCTAATTGCATTGTCAAGAGTTGATGAATTTAATACCTTGACGACGAAAATCCATTCATCTAGTAGAACATCACAATCAATTTTAGACCATGGTAAACTCATGCTGTCAAGTTTCGACGAGATTGAAAACGTTCTGTTAAATATGAATTAATACAATCCTATCAAATAATATGTCAATCGAATTTTCTATTGCACAACTTAGAAACGATAGACATTAGAATTACGATTGATTCAGAATAAATTAAAATGTTTATATCGTAATAATATTTTTCTCCTATTTATTCATTTGATTTGAAGATCTGTTTTATCACAAGAGAAAACTTGACATCTTGTCTAAAATTGATGATATATGAAGTTAAATTCAACTCTTTTGATATACTTCTATTAGTGATTACATGTTCATAGATGTATTTTAATTATTTTCCTGTTTAAAATGAAAAAAAATCTCATTATTATTTCTTTTTTTTTCTCAGTATGTCTGAAGAGCCTGGTTCATCAATGCAGAATATCATAAATAATAAAACATGACAATATATTTTGTAGAATTGTTCCTGTTGAACTTAAAGTTATTTGTATGTATTAATAAATGCTTTAATTGTCTATGATTTTTACATAAACATGATAATTTATTTTGTTTCCCTTGATAAACACTTGTTAAATAACTGATATACTACATTATTTTACTTATCTGGTAAGTTGTTTAAAAAAACACATCTTCTAGAAAATATCAGTATGTCTATACAAGTATTGTGGCAATCATTGTATAGAATTGTTCGTAATAAATGGAATACAGGAAATATTTTTGATTCTCAATCAGTAGATCCATTGATTATTCGTCGTGGAATCTTGTCAACTCGTCTTTATAGTATTCTTGTTATTATTTCTCTTATTACTTTAATAACATATACTTCATTAAGTAATCGAATTGAAAATAAGACAATAATATCACCAAGTCAATCTATTTATGAAGATCTTCAAAAGAAATATGCCGATAGTTTACAATGTTCATGTACACAAATTTCAATTCCTTACGGAAATTTTGTTCACACAAGTCCATTATTTCATCAAGTATGTTCAAGTAATTTTATTTCTCAACAATGGATCAATTTCATATTTCAAACAAATTCAGCATCTATTTGGCCAATAGATGTTCGAACAAGTTTGAGTGCAATGTGGCAATTACTACGAACATTTTGTCAAAGTTCAATAAACATAATCACAGATGCACTTAATCAATTTGATAATTCTCCATTAGTTAATACAATGCTATTGACTGAAGAATTATTAGAAGCAAAAGTTGAAGCTGCTCTTTATTTATCACGTCAAACAGCATTATCGACGTTAACACAATCAATGACAATTGTTCATAAAATTACACAAGCAAATCAATTAGTAACTGGATTATTAACAAATTATGTTGCTGTAACATATAATTTTGGATTAACACAAGAACGTGATTCGTATGTCGATATAGGGTATATGAATGTTTCTCTTTATTCGGGAATATTTGGAAATAAATATATATTAAAAAATTCATCAAGAGTTTGTTCTTGTCAAAATAATGGTTCATGTCCTCTACCTGGAAATCTTTATTTATATAAAACTTATGAAAGTTTTGGCATTTACGATTTAAATAGAATTAAAGCAAATGAAACATTATCTGGTATAGTAATTGATTGTTTACCATCTCAAATGACACTTTCATCATCATTAGAATGTTTTTATAATCAATCATGTCTAAATATTCTTTTATCATCTTATAAAAATCCATTAAATATTTCAATTCTTAATCAATCTTTATCAAGTCGTTTTCTTTCAACAACAAAACTTGAATTACTTATCAATGAACTATTTCTTGAAGAGATTTTTAATGCAACAAATTATACAAAATATTATTCTCAATGCTCACCCAGTGTTTGTCAATACACTTATATACATAGTTTTAGTTGGATTTATATTCTTATAATATTTACTGGTCTTCTTGGAGGAATAACAACTGTATTACATATAATTACTCCATATATTATTCAATTAACTCTATTTTCAAATAATTATCAACAAAATCAAAGTAAGATTCAAGCAAAAAAAAAGGAATAAAATATTTAATAAATATTATTTTAGTTCGACCAAAAGAATTTTTTGTAAAATTCAAAAATAAAATCCAAAATTTTAATTTATACAGTAAAGATTCTCGTGATCCAATACGTGTTTATCATGGTGTTTTAGCAACACGATTATATATTATTTTATTATTAATTTCAATAT